TATCGGGGACACATTTAAAGCAGTGTCTAGAGGGAAACTTATAGCAATAAATGCCCACATGAGAAGGAAGGAAAGATCTAAAAACCAACACCCTACCATCAAAATTGAAAGAGCTAGAGGAGCAAAGTCAAAAAAACTCAAAAGCTAGCAGAAGATAAGAAATAACTAAGATCAGAGCAGAACTGAAGAAGTTAAGAGACACAAAAAACCCTTCAAAAAAATCAATAAATTGAGGAGCTGGTTTTTTGAAAAGATCAACAAAATAGACTGTTAGCCAGACTAATAAAAAAGAAAAGAGAGAAGAATCTAATAGATGCAAAAAACAAAACAAAACAAAACAATAAAGGGGATATCACCACAGATTCCACAGAAATACGAACTACCATCACAAATTACTACAAACAACTCTATGCACATAAACCTGTAAACCTGGAAGAAAAGGATAAATTCCTGGACACTTGCACCCTCCCAAGCCTAAACCAGGAAGAAGTTGAAACCCTGAATAGACCAGTAATAAGGGCTGAAGTTGAGGCAGCAATTAATAGCCTATCAACCAAAAAAAGCCCAGGTCCAGATGGGTTCACAGCTGAATTCTACCAGACATACAAAGAGAAGCTGGTACCACTCCTTCTGAAACAATTCCAAACAATACAAAAAGAAGGAATCCTTTCCAAATCATTTTATGAGACCAACATCATCCCAATACCAAAATCCAGCAGAGACTCACCAAAAAAAGAAAACTTCAGGCCAATATCCATGGTGAACATAGCGCAAAAATCTTCAATAAAATACTGGCGAACAGATTGCAACAGCACATCAAAAAGCTTATCCATCACGACCAAGTAGGCTTCATCCTGGGGATACAAGGCTGGCTCAACATAAGCAAGTCTATAAAGGTAATCCACTCCATAAACAGAACCAAAGACAAAAACCACATGATCATCTCCATAGATGCGGAGAAGGCCTTTGACAAAATTCAACAGCCCTTTATGCTAAAAACTCTCAATAAACTAGGTATTGATGGAACGTATCTCAAAATAATAAAAGTTATTTACGACAAACCCATAGCCAATGTCATACTGAATGGGCAAAAACTGGAAGCATTCCCTTTGAAATGTGGCACTAGACAAGGATGCCCTCTCTCACCACTCCTATTCAATATAGTATTGGAAGTTCTAGCCAGAGCAATCAGGCAAGAAAAAGAAATTAAGGGTATTCAATTAAGAAAAGAGGAAGTCAAATTTTCTCTATTTGCAGACGATATGATTGTATATTTAGAAGACCCCATCGTCTCGGCCCAAAATCTCCTTAAACTGATAAGCAACTTCAGCAGTCTCAGGATACAAAATCAATGTGCAGAAATCACAAGCATTCCTATACACCAATAACAGACTAAAAGAGAACCAAATCAAGAGTGAACTCCCATTCACAACTGCTACGAAGAGAATAAAATATCTAGGAATACAACTAACAAAGGATGTAAAGGACCTCTTCAAGAACTGTGAACCACTGCTCAAGGAAATAAGAGAGGACACAAACAGAAGAAAAATATTCCATGCTCATGTTTAGGAAGAATCAATATTGTGAAAATGGCCATACTGCCCAAAGTAACGTATAGATTCAATGCTATCCCTATCAAGGTACCCATGTCTCTCTTCACAAAACTGAAAAAAACTACCTTAAACTTCATATGTAACTGAAAGAGAGCCTGTATAGCCAAGACAATCATAAGCAAAAAGAACAAAGCTGGAAGCATCACGCTACCTGACTTCAAATTATACTACAAGGCTATAGTAATCAAAACAGCATGGTACTGGTACAAAAACAGAGATATAAACCAATGGAATAGAACAGAGGCCTCAGAGGCAACGCCACACATCTACAACCATCTGATCTTTGACAAACCTGACAAAAACAAGCAATGGGGAAAGGATTCCCTGTTTAATAAATAGTGTTGGGATAAGTGGCTACCCATGTGCAGAAAGCAGAAACTGGACCCCTTCCTGACACCTTATACTAAAATTAACTCCAGATGGATTAAAGACTTAAACATAAGACCTAACACCATAAAAACCCTGGCAGAAAACACAGGCAAAACCATTCAGGACATAGGCATAGGCAAGGACTTCATTACTAAAACACGAAAAGCATTGGCAACAAAAGCCAAAATAGACAAATGGGACCTAATTAAATTCCAGAGCTTCTGTACAGCAAAAGAAACAATCATTAGAGCGAACCAGCAACCAACAGAATGAGAAAAAATTTTTACCATCTATCCATCTGACAAAGGGCTGATATCCAGAATCTACAAAGAACTAAAACAGATTTACAAGAAAAAAACAAACCCATTCAAAAGTGGGCAAAGGACATGAACAGACACTTTTCTAAAGAAGACATATTTGAGGCCAACAAACATATGAAAAAATGCTCATCACTGGTCATTAGAGAAATGCAAATCAAAACCACATTGAGATATCATCTCACACCAGTTAGAGTGGAGATCATTAAAAAATCTGGAGACAACAGATGCTGGAGAGGATATGGAGAAATAGGAATACTTTTACACTGTTGGTGGGAGTGTAAATTAGTTCAACCATTGTGGAAGACAGTGAAGCTCAAGGACCTAGAAACAGAAATTCCATTTGACCCAGCAATCCCATTACTGGGTATATATCCAAAGGATTATAAATCATTCTATTATAAAGACACATGTACACATATGTTCATTGCGGCACTGTTTACAATAGCAAAGACCTGGAACCAACCCAAATGCCCATCGATGATAGACTGGACAAGGAAAATGTGGCACATATGCACCATGGAATTCTATGCAGCCATAAAAAACAATGAGTTTGTGTCCTTTGTAGGGACATGGATGAATCTGTAAACCAACATTCTCAGCAAACTGATACAAGAACAGAAAATCAAATACCATATGTTCTCGCTGATAGGCAGGTGCTGAACAATGGGAACACATGGACACAGGGAGGGGAGCATCACATACTGGGGTCTGTTGAGGGGGTCTAGGGGAGGGACAGCAGCGGGTAGGGAGGTTGGGGAGGGATAACATGGGGAGAAATGCCACATATAGGTGACAGGCGGATGGAGGCAGCAAACCACATTGCTACATCATCTGCACATGTACCCCAGAACCTAAAGTACAATAAAAATAATAAAAAATAACTAAGATTTAGAAAATCATTTGAAAACATTATAAATGAAAGACAATTTATAAATTCCAGAAAAAATGTAATTGACATTCAAAAAATGCTGCTTATTTTGTTCTTTGCTTAACAGTCACGTTAAAAAACCCACATTTAATTGTTCTGGATTTCTTCTGGTAAATCCAAACCAGACTTTTCATCTAGCTCAGTAGGCAGGGATACTACATAATATGAAAAATCTTAAGGTAAATAAGAAAAAGATATGTGACTTCACAAATTCCATTCTTCCAGTCTCCATCTCTTACTGTAAGACCTTGGCAAGTTTTAGCTCTCTGTACCACAGTTTCTTCCTCGTAAGGTGGAGATAGTAAGACACCTACTTCCCGGGATTATTTCATGAATTACTGTTTAATCACTTTGAACAGTGCCTAGCAAAGCAGCATCCAGTAAACCATGAGCATGGTTCCTCTCTTATGTAAACTCAAGACAGAAAGTTGCTCACCCTGTTCTAAAGGTTTATCTAAAAGCTACTAGCAAAGTGGGGGTTGGATTTCAGCCCCTACTTTATTCTGTGTAATGCAAACCAACATTAGCTGCATAAAATGAAGAAAAGAAACAAAAATGATATTTAAGATACAGAATTTCAAGTATCCACTTATGTGGCTTTTGATAATGGAAGGGAACAAATTTGAAAAGTTAATGTATTTATTACTACCCTTCAGTAATCACAAAAAGGATCTGAAACGGAATCACTTGCAGTTTCACAGCATAAAAGCTCTCCCACAAATTACAAATATTAAAAAAATGTAATTCATTTTCAGTGTAATATTGAGGCAGGCAGGTAAAAGTCTTTGAACTATCTCAGAAATACTCAGAAAACATCAATTTTATTGTACCATGGTCCATGTATTATGGATATAAGACCTAGGAAGTTGGTCTAGTGTCCTTATCTACAGATCAAAATTACATGTAATAAAAATATTCAAATACAGTTTTGAAGGATAACCACTTGTTATTAGATATATCTTTATTATACACATCATGGCCTCAATGTGATGACAGATCCTGAATCTCTAACTAGTAAAATAAAACTTCTTTGTGGCAATTCAGTTACATTATTATTTATTTATGACACCACAATGAAAACAGGAAATACTATCACTTAAAAATTTTTGTCTTTTTAATAAAATAAAGGCCTAAGAGGCACATCAGATCATCCTGGCTACCTCCTTAGTAAGAATATCTTCGACCCACTGTCCTAAGTCCATTTTAAGGGAAGTACATAATTTCTACCCAGCACTATGGTTATTCACCAATCAATTTCCTAAATAAGTAAATGTGCATAATGAACCCTAAGCAAGGCAAATTTTCTCAAGGAAAAAAAAATCTTGTTCTATTATAATCTACAGATAAATCAAAGATACTTATTTTTAGTGTAGTAATTCATGTCCTCATTTTATTCTGTAAACATATATATATGTAGTTTCTTACAAGTCTTTCCCCATAACTATTTTCATTTATTGCTCATTTCTACTCAGAATACTTATTAAAATATTTTTCAAAAAAGTTTTAAAGCCTTATTTTTTTCTTACAAGGGATCCATTTCACTAAATATTTTTATACACGTATGTGTATATATATATTTATCACTCCTCTGAGGTAATTTGCATTGCAACATGGCCTTCAAAATACAAAGACTACTTAGGTTTTGAATGAAATTTTTTTCTAACTCTTCCGCGTCAAAATCAGGGTATCCTGAAAAGCCAAGAAAAATCATAATATCCACCAAAAGTCATGGGCTTCAAGTGAGTGAACTACAGAAAGACAGCGTCTTGCCTTGTCATCTTTCCCTCTTGCTCTATAATCCTTGTCCCTACTTGTAGAAGGTTTTTCACTCTTTGATATAGGATGTGCTCGGCCTACAGGTCCCCGGGCTCCTACTCCTGCCATTTCTTTCCTCAGAGGTCTTACTTCTCGATTGGCACGCCTGATCTGAGGTGGAGCTCTGACAAAAAAAAAAATATAAAAAAATAAAATTAAAATTAATCAAAGGTAAAAGTATCTCAATACTACCCTAGTCAATAAAATTGTTAAATCAAGAAGCCCGAAATCTAATTTTTTTCACCTTTGGACAATTCATGGCCACAACTATTAGGCTGGTTTTCCCAAATTCTTTTTTCTAAAACATACTAGCTGATACAATCATTAAATACACACACATGACACATACAGCAATTAATCTGTCAAAAGTAACTATTAATCACCAACAGAGGGCAACACAGACTATCCCCATCTAATAATCTTAACAGCATAATGGAAAGACAGTAATTTTATTCATTACTGTCCTAAACCAAGAATAAGTGACTTTTTTTTGGAAAAAAAGCATTAAAAGCTGAAAGAATAGGAACTCTAAAATGTCTGTTTGTACAGTTTATTAATTTGTTTTACAACCAAGATGATTTTCTCTGCTTCTATAATGGAAAATTAAACATTTCATTCATCAAATTACAAATAGCAGAGCTAACAATGAAATCTTCTTAAAGTAATTTATGTGTAAAAATATTCATGTTTTGAGACTGTCACAAACCACAGAATCATTCAAATTATAGTCCTCAAGATGTGATAAAAAATTTTGATAAATACATAAAAGTGTGCATTCAAAATAGCATATTTGGTTTCATCTGCTGTGGAACTTGTCTCCTTCAAACAGTAAGTTTTGAGGTGTCTCAACACAGTTTTTGTCTCTTTTTGGTTCTTGGGTAAGGGACTCTATCACTTCGTGTTTAATCTTAGTTCTCTCTTGAAATGTCTCTACCTCTATTTTCCTACCTTTTCTTTCCCTATAACTATGTATGTATCTATAGCCCTTCAGATCCCATATGTGTATTCCATTTTTAACCACATGCCAAATCTATTATTATCCCTTTTCCAGCCTCACACTTTTAATTCGCCTAACTCATCATGGAGTTTCATTCCTTGCATCAGAAAAGGTGACATATATGCATAACTCAAAGAATGGAAAATGAATGAAAAGCCATGAAGGTTGCAAACTAAAGGCCAAAAGGGTCAGAAAAAGAAAATGTGTTAACATGTTTCAAGTCTGATACAGCATATTTAGACATTGGAATAAGACTACATCATGAAATTGCTAAGGAAAAGAAAGGCTGGTGAAAACTATCTGTCTATCTATGAGGTTACCATACACTGACATCTCAATTTTTGCAGTTCAGTCCAGTTAAACAAGTATTTACTGACCACCCATTAAGTGGTATATGGCCTCTACCTCACTGGCCCTAAGAGGAGACAAACACAAATAAGCAATCTTGTGAAAGAAATCCATAGAAAAGGAACTACAAAATAGTGCATAGCAATGGCTATGAGACATTTTGAAATTTGAAGTATTATTACATTATTGTCTTTAGGACATTAGTAGTCTTTTAAGCATTCTGCCTATAAAATAAAAATGTGATGAGTCTGGTAAAGAATAAAAAATTTTAATTGTTAAATTGCTCTATTTCTAGTATTTCAATGTGACCACTGTTTACCTTTCTTTTTTTTTTTTTTTGGTTTGATGAAGGGGTGGAAAGTAATAAAGTAAAATTTTACTTTTATTTGTATGCATTTGTGTATATATAAATATCTTTCCTGAATCAGATTTATGGGTATGGCCGAAGACAGTAAAATAAGACCAACAATCTTTTCCACACAGAATGTGCATCAAGTTTGCCTTTTTGTAAGCAGGTTCACCTGCTTTTTAAATAGTCTGTTTTCTTTGTGATCTGGTTTTTAGACTAAACAGCTAGCCACAGCCTCCACTCACCAATAACAAGCCATCCCTCCCAGCTACACTGCTCGCCCGCAGCTAAGCTTGCTCCTCTGGACTCACTGCTTAGGGTACACTACAGCGGGTCTCAGACAACATTCCTTCTGCCGCCTCAGCTTGTGCCTTCCCCACCTCAGCTTGCGATTCAACGGCCACCTAGGAGTTCTGCTGTAGTCCATTCTGTACACACATCCCACTGGGTAAAGCTGTATTGTAGAAGAATTGTTTCAAACCTCTTAGAGGCTACATTCTGACTGTCTGCCATTACTGACCTTGTCTTGCCACTCAATATTCTGATGGGCTCCTAAACAGTCTGAGTGAAACTGCTCAAGAAGCCAGATGTGTCATCTGTGGCAAGGCTCCTGTCTCACAGAAGTGTGCCTCTGCTTTGTCAGTCTTCAGTTCCATCTCACTGAAACTGGATATTACATTTGTAACAGACTCTGTGGGCTCCCCAAAGGACATCCTTGATTCTGTTCTGTACTTCTTTGTCCACTAGCGCATCACTGCACAATGTCATGCTTCAATTTAAGGACTCAATGACAGCTTCCAGGCTGTGTAAACAATAAAGATCTCAAGCCTTCGTTTACTACTGTCTCTTTAAAAAGAGACTTTAGTAGGGTTGCATAGCATCATTGACCTCTGCCCTAATGATCGAACAGAATGACACTGTACTAGCTTATAGCACTTCAAATTTAGAGAATAACTGGTTAGATCTGCAGGTGACAGACAAAAATATCTATATTGTGTTCAATTCTCCTATTTCAGATTTCCATATAGGAATGAGAAGAAATATGCCTTATTCTATCACAGGCAAATCAGCCTCATTTCCTTCAAAATCCAGTATTTCCTCTTTCTCAGCTGTATTAAATATCAACATTATATGTAAATGTTCTTATTGGTACTGCTTTATACAGTCTACATACAAGTAGTCTGTCAAATACATGCTTTGTAAATATCATCTCCCAGTGTGTGATCTGCCTTTTTTCTCTCTTTTTTTTTTTTGCATTTTATTTTATTTTCAATTTTTTAGACTCAGGGATATATGCACAGGTGCTCATTTGTTACAAAGGTATTTTACCTCTCTTAACGGTATCTTTCTTGATAAAGAGAAGGTCATAATTCTAGAAGTCCAATTTATCAACCTTTAATAATTAATGTTTAGTGGCTAGTCTAATAAATCTTTGCCTACCCTGAAATTATGATGATATCACTTCCATGTTTTCTTTTTTTTTTTTTTTGAAAGTTTTTAGTTTATTAAGCTTCTCGTGAAAAATCCACAACGGCCATAGACAACATCATTGCAGCACCTTTACTCCTTCGGCTTTTTGCCAGCGCCGACATTGGCCTTTGCAGTCCCCCTGACTTTCTTCATTCTGTTCTTGCGTTCCTTTCGTTGCTTTCTTGAGGTCTTTTTCTTCTCATACAGGCCATGTCTTGCAAGTCTATGTTTGGGTTCATTTTTCTTTGCATAATCCAGGGAATCATAAATCATGCCAAAGCCAGTTGTCTTGCCACCACCAAAATGAGTTCTAAATCCAAATACAAAGATGACATCCGGTGTGGTCTTGTACATTTTGGCTAGTTTTTCCCGAATTTCTGTCTTAGGCACTGTTGCCTTCCCGGGGTGAAGGACATCAATGACCATTTGTTTCCTCTGAAGCAGTCGGTTGGTCATGAACTTTCTAGTGCGGATAGTTACTGTGTCGTTCATGATGGCGGCCTATCCTTACACAGCCGGGGAGGAAAAACCCATGTTTTCTTCTAGAAGTTTTACTTTATTACTTTTAATATTTTAGGTATTGATCTATTTTAAGTTAATTTTTGTATAATGTTAGGTGGGAAAGAACAGTATCTTGATTTTTTTTCACCCAAATGGATAATGAATTACCCTAGAAGCATTTACTAATAAGGCCCACCTTTTGCTACTGAATTTCAGTGGCATCTTCATAAATCAAGTGATTTCCCAAGATTTAATCCTTAAGGATAACTTCTGGTTCTAAAAAGGACTTTAGAATTTTTAAATTATTTGCTACCAGAAGATTATAAATAAATATCCTAAGTAGGAATCTTTAAAATATTATTAATTCTTTCAACAAATAGCTAAATCTTACTGAACACAAAGCACTGTGCTACACAATGTAAAAGGCTGGATTAAGGGTCGTGTGCAGTGGCTCATGCTTGTAATCCCAGCACTCTGGGAGGCTGAGGCAGGCAGATCACTTGAGGTCAGGTGTTCCAGACCAGCTGGGCCAATATGGCAAACCCCGTCTCCACTAAAAATACAAAACTCAGCCACACATGGTAGTGGGCACCTGTAATCCCAGCTACTTGGGAGGCTGAGACAGGAGAATGACTTGAACCTGAGAGGCGAAGGTTGCAGTGAGTTGAGATCATGCTACTGCACTCCATCCTGGGCCACAGAGCAAGGCCCTGTCTCAAAGAAAAAAAAAGGTGGGGGTGGGGAGTGGGAATTAAGTCTTCCCTCATTATCTAAGCAAATAAATCACATTCAGAAATATACTGAGCACCACAGACAATGGTACGATACGAGTTGATGTGAGTTGTTTTGTAACCTCAAGGGTACTTTTTGTGCAGAAAACACTCTCAGAGGCTTACTTTGATTTTTAAAATACTCAATTTATTAAATTTAAAAATGCAAAAAATCAGCTTTTCCTTAAAGCTTTTAGATTCAGCTACAATTTTTTTTCTATGTACATGCCTGGGCAGATTTTAGAAGTTACTTTTAAGAAATTTTTCTTTTCTTAAAAAACAAAAACAAAAACAAAAAACAAAAAACAAAGTCTCACTCACTCTGCCACCCAGGCTGGAGTGCAGCAGCACAATCCTGGCTCACTGCAACCTCCACTTCCCAGGTTCAAGCGATTCTCTTGCCTCAGCTGAGATTACAGGAATGCACCACCATGCCCAGCTAATTTTTGTATTTTTTGTGGAGACAGATTTCACCATGTTGACCAGGCTAGTCTTGAACTCCTGTCCTCAAGTGATCTGCCCACCTCAGCCTCCCAAAGTGCTGGAATTACAGATGTGAGCCATTGCACCTGGCCTGCTTTTAAGAGATTTTAAAATAATGCTTGGTCCCAGTTACAAACCTGGTTAATAAAATGCCACCAGAATTTTTTAACCAAATTTATAAATTTAATGTATTTTCTTCTTAGTTC